GAAAATAGGCACCAGCCATCGAAGACAACGTCACGACGATATACACTCTGCAGCACCAAGAAAAAGCCTGTAAGAACAGTGTGCCCTGCTAAAAATGCCCCGTAGAAACCCATAAATTTTTTTACGGGGAATGGCCTACGGGTACCCGTACAGCTCTGGCGGGTACCCGTAGCCAATCCCCGTAAACCTACAGACAGAAACCCGTACTGTACGGTAGCCGTAGGCCAATCCCCGTAAAAACCCATAGAAAGAAACCAGTACAGCTAATACTGGTACCCGTAGACCGAATTCCCGTAAACACCCATTGAAAGGAACCAATACAACTATACAGGTACCCGTAGGACAAATCCCCATAAAAACCCATAGAAAGAAACCAGTTGTACCCCGAAAAACCCTACGCTGTACGGGTACCCGTAGGCTAAATCCCCGTAAAACCCAAAAAAAGAAACCTCACGGCTATAAGCCCTGTAGAAACCCGTAAAAACCTGTAACGGACACCCGTACGACTGTACGGTTACGAGTAGGCCCAAGCTCCATGTAGAACTGTAGGCACCATAAACGAAATCCCAGTAAAAACCTATAAGCAGAAATCAGAGCTTTATGTGTATCCATAGGCCAAATCTCCACAAAAAATGGTTATTCCGTAGGTCTATTACTCATAAAAACCAGCAGACAAAACCCGTACCTATATAGGTACCCATAGAGCAACTGCCTATAAAAACCAGTGCACAAAAATCTACAGACCAATAAGGGTACCTCTTATCAAACTCACTGCACAAAACAGTAGGCAAAAACTCATAAACAAAACCAATAGAATTATACCGTAGCGGAGTATCCATACACAGAATCGTACATACAACGGATATCCATATACAGAATCCCTATAAAAAACAATACACAAAAATAGAACTGTAAATCAAATTTCCATAAAAACATAAACTTTGCATGTGCTGCATTCCCATGGGAATGCAGCACATGCAAAGTTCCACTCTGCTTGAAAAAGAAAAACTGTTTCCATGAGTACCATAGAGACTGATTTGTACGAAGTGTTCTGTGGGCAGTCGTCACCTGAGATTAACCACCAGAAGTGATCATTTTTTTTTTCACTCGTCTTCAGGCGAAACAAATAGCGTGTGATGATACAGACAAAAACTGAAAATCTCGGGACGCGATATTTCAAACATTAAATTCTCACGCCTCGATATATGGGGTCTTGTTTTAGTATTGTCTTCTCTTCTTCTCTTCATTTTTAACTGACGCCGCTGTAACGGAATAGAACCGCTTTATGATATTGGATATTACCAACGGTTCAGTGAAAGAAGTCTTTTACAGTTTTGCGCCCAATCACTATTTTTCAATTATTCCTTCAGCAAATGTCTGCTACACTGACTACCAATAAGTATTTGGACACCTGTGATAGAAGAGAAAAACTAACTTCATTCAAAATCAATAGTTGGTAGAGCCTCCACGAGAGGTAATTACAGCGTGGAGCCTCCGCGGCATACTTTCCACAAGTCTTTGTATGACAGCTAGAGGTATTTTCTTCCACTCGGCTTGGAGAAGACATAGAAGTTCCTTCACCGATTTTGCACGGGTAGTGCACCCCTGAATTCGGCGATGCAACTCGTCCCAGAGGTTCTCGATAGGGTTCAGGTCTGGACTCTGGGCAGGCCAGTCCATTCGATGAACTCCATTGGCACCATACCAAGCCTTGGTTAACGTCGAAACATGACAACTGGCAATGTCGTCCTCAAAGTAACAGGGGTCCAACCCGTAAAACTGCCACAACATAGGAAGCACATTGTCATCCAAAATAGTGCAGTAGGCATCGGAGTTGAGCTTACCATGAATGGGGACCAAGGGACCCAGCCCATACCAGGAGAAACAACTTCAGACCGTAATTCCACCTCCGCCGAACTTGACTGTTGGCACAATGCATTCTGGCAGGAGACGTGCTCCAGGTAGACGCCAGACCCAGACCCTGCCATCCGAACAGTAAAGGGTGAACCTTGATTCGTCACTCCAAAGAACCCGTTTCCACTGATCTACGGTCCAATTTCGATGTGCTTTGCACCAAAACCGAGCAGCGCGGTTGGACTTTGTGATCAAAGGCTTATGGGCAGCAGCACGACCATGAAAACCAAGCAGATGTGCTTCCTTACGAATGGTATTCATTGAAACAATACTCCCGGATGCCTGTTGAAACTCATCGCTGATGAGGGTCATCGGTTGGGTGCGGTTCTTCCGAATTTCTCTGGACAACACTCGTCGGTCTCTGTCTCCCAGTTTCGTTGGTCTGCCGACTCGGGGCACATTCCGACAATCACCGCTCACCTTCCACTTCTTAATCACATAGGCCACTGTCGATTTTGGGTACTTCAGATCGCTAGATATGTCCCTTAAGGATCGGCCACATTTGTGATACCCGATAATTATACCTTTCTCGAAATCAGAGAGCTCCGAAATGCGAGGCATCTTGCACGCGACTAAAGCCGATGCTGTTTCCTACACGATATATACCGGCATAGTCCGTAATGTACCTTAGGACCGGAGATATCGTCATTTGCATAGGTGTCTAAATACTTATTGGTAGTAAGAGTATAGTTCTGCTAAATCTCTGATATATTCACCTATGATTAGATACGGCTATTTAATTCAGGTCGGTTCCTCTGTTTGTTTGGGTCATATCGTGAAATCAATTTTTCATCTTTCCAATTAAGCCAATTTTCTCAAAATATTTTGAAAATTTTACGTTAAAGCGATTTTTTTTTTTTTTTTTTTTTTCATATATACGTGGTTAAAGCTGAAACTAATCATCGTGGAATTACATTATTTGCGATGTGTTGAAAACTATGTTTCCAGTTGAAGTTTGTTCAGAATATGCAAAGTGACTTAATGGTTTTGGGCAATTTTTCCTAATTCGTACTAACAGTCTTACCTGCTAACAGTGATCGTAACCGAAGTTTTAGATCAAAATTATCAAAGATATATTCAAATAAGTTGAGTATAATAATCGGAATTCTTCAGATAAATCGGAATTCTTGAAAGAAAGGTAACAAGCTAACAATGCTCGCTTCTCTGCTGTGTTGCTTGAAGGAATAAATAGCTCTTGTATTCAGAGCCAGGAATTGTCTTTACTTTCTATATTTCTCCTCATCTACGGACTAAGAGGTGTAAAATAAAATTTATACAATTATTTTTTTAAATTACATTGTTCAACTGAATATATAGAAAGGCATAAGTATTTCTGTTTCCTATCAGATGATTTATCAGATAATTATCAGATGACAGAAATAATATTGCGCATGCACGAATGGTATTGGGACATTGACAGGAGTTGGAAGAATTACAAAAATGGAGGCAGAGGAATGAAACATAAATATTGTTGTGTACGGGTCTTTAACAGGTTGAATGTACAAATTTGATAACAGGTTAATAAAATTTGTTTTTATCAAAAGAAATATTTCAGAACTTCGGAATTTTCTACAGGAATATTCGTACAGGTGTAACAGTACCACGCAGTATAATCAGTAGTTACACTTCAAACTACTAAGAACGTTAAACACAGCGCTATGCAAAGAGAAAACTGCGCTTCACGCAGAACTACAATTCGCAAAAACAGGAACTAAGCAACTGAGAGCAGATGCTCTCTCTTCGGTCTTAAATAGTTTTTCAACCGGTCTCCGAGATATTTCTAGTACTTTCTACTTCTCGAAATTAATAGAAAGCAATATGAGAATAGAATTACGGTTACAGCTAACATAGTTGTCAATTACATTAATTCAGTTACAACAGTTACTTAATACGGTAATACAGGAATCGGACCAAAATGTAGCCAAATGGTCGCCAAAATTGGTGATTTGGCGACCATTTGGCGACAAATCACCAAAGTTAAGTCACCATTAGTAAGTAACTACTAATGCACATTTTTGGACTAATATGCATTTTTTGGCTATTTCTTGCCAAAATGAGTCGCCAAAACCGTTGTCATTTATCGATACCTCGCCAGATTACCGAGATTTCCGTTTACGCAGTGTTAAATGCACGTACTCCTGTATTTTTATTTTTCCGGCATAGCTTTCTCTTAAAATTAGTCTTGCACTATATTACACAGAAAAATATAAGAATTTTACTTATAATTCCATTGAAATTACCTAAGTATAAAATTCATTCAGATTTCTTAGATACACGTTTACTCAACATTAAATGCACAGAGCCCTGTATTCTTACTTTTCCGACATAGCTTTCTCTTTATATTTTATTTATCTTGCGCTACATTACACATAAAAATATAACAGTTTTACTTATAAATGTACTAAGATTACCTATCTAAGAACAAAATTCGTAGCAATATAATTAAAACTAAATTCATTCATATTTCTTATTGACAGTTTCCGTTCTAAATTTGCCTTTGTTTACAGCCCCACAATTTTTGTTATTTACATTACGTCTAGAAATGTTATGTTAAATAAAAAAAAAGTTGTTTGCTTTTTAGGGTATTTAAATAAAATCGTGTAATTAAAACTTTTTATGCATATTTTATTCTTACTTGAAGCAGTAATTAACTACTAATGTACATTTTTGGACTAATATGCATTTTTGTTTGTTAGTAGCTTATTTTAACTGTGAAGTTTAGAAGGTATTTCTCACACTTTTTTAGCGTGCCTTCATGGTGTAATGCTTCTGCACGCTGGGTCGGTATTCCAGAGACCCGTGGTTCGATTCCCGGGAAAGGCGGTTGCTATTTTTCCTCTTGCCTGCTTCCAAAGAAATCCTGGGACGCCATTGTAGAGACATTATGATTTATTTAGAAGCAAGCAAGATTAAAATAGCAACCGCCTTCGCCGGGAATCGAACCACGGACTTCTGGAATACCCGCCCAGCGTGCAGAACCACTACACCACGAAGGCATGCTAGGAAAGTGGGAGAAATACCTTGTATGTTCACGTCGACTGACTGGCATTCTTACAACAGGAAAGAACCATTGCTCCTTGGGTACGATGGAAATACCTGTTATTGCCGTTTTATTTCAAGGAGGCACAGATTGTGCCCGACTGGTCCTCGATCACCTGAAGCGCCATCTACCTCTAGTAGTCATGAAAGGAAGCGGAGGGCTTGCAGACATTTTAGGATTTGTTTATACAGAAGTGTCGCAAAGGTTGGAATGTTACATTTCATTCTGTCTACGTCACCCATTTGCTTACGCACCACATTCAGTGATTAAATTTAATTAATTTTTTACAGACCTCAGGGAATAGCAGATGCCGAATTCTGTGAAAATTATTTAAAGCCGGAATTGTCTCGAAAAATATCGGAAAAATTTCCCAAGCTTAGAGATAACAGTTTGTCAAGAAATATTTTTAGAGACAGGATAATGGACTGTGTTCGCCACGCCAAGCAAGTAAGTGGAATACAAATTTAAGTCAAGAAATCAAAATATTTATCAAGAATGAGATCATATTATTTTTCATATTTCTCTTTTTATATGCACAAGCAGTAATACGTTAAGAATTGTAAACTTTTCTAGTACATGGATTTTAAAAATATAATATACAGGGTTTGTCTGGAACGTAGAAGGACTGGATGTAAAAAAAAAAAAATAATTCACAGCTGTGTCATATGGGCTTTTCAAAATATGCTCCTTTTTAATCAACACAGCGTTTCCAGCGACTTTACCAATCAGTGAAGGCTCCCTAGAACGCAGAAACTGGAATGCTCTTCAGCTTCCTCGTTACGGCCTCTTGAGGTGGCCTGGACCGAGCCATGGTTCCGTCCTTTCATGAACCTTTTTCAGTCGAGGGAAGAGGGAGAAGTCTGAAGGAGCGACGTCTGGTTTGCAGGTTGGCTTGGAAAGCTGTGTGATGCCACATTTGGTCAGGAAGTCCCTAACAGCAAAGGCTATGTGGCTCGGCGGATTGTCGTGATGTAGCTTCCATGATACCAGCGATTGCTGGACGAACGCGGGCGACTCGTTTTCTGAAATTGAGTCGGTCACAGTTCAAAAGATTTTGCACTTTCGCTAAATTTTCTTCACTTTTTGCCTTTGAAGGGCGTTCTGACCGTTGCTTATCTTCAACTTGTTCTCTTCCCCCCCCAGAAACAATTTATACCTCCCAAAACTCATTTGTGCCCATGGCATCACTCCCATAAGCAGACTTGATGATGTCTCACTCGCGGTTTTATTCAGTTTGACGCAAAACTTCACCGCGTAACGCTACTCTAACAAACGATTCATTGTAGAGATGACGAGACACCTTGAAAAGGGGTTCGTTCACTTTAACTCTTTGAAGGACGGCGGTTACCTACAGTAACCACCTTTTCTATTGAACATCTTACTCACTCGTGTGAGTCGTTTTCAAGACTGACCGTTTCTGAAGTTCCCTTGTAGCTCACTAGATGGCAATCAAGGAAAATAAGCAGTAGTGAGCAGCAATCGTCTTCAAGAAAATAAGCATCAACATCGAAGACATCACGACGATATACACTCTGCAGCACAAGAAAAAGCCTGTAAGAACAGTGTGGGAATGTAGCACGGACAAGGCTGCACTCTGCTTGAAAAAGAGAAACTGCTTCCATGAGTACCATAGAGACTGATTTGTAGCGATATGCTCTGTGGGCGATGGTTACTGATACGAACCACCAGAAGTGATCATTTCTTTCACGCGTCTCGGACAAAATATGTGTAATTGTCGTAAATAATTTCAGTGTAACACCTGATATAGTAAATAAAACAAGAGTTTTACTGAAAAAGGTAATTGCCTTTTCTGCTCCTCAAAGAGTTAAATTCAATTTACACTCCGTGAATGTTTGGCGATTGGTGCGCTGGTAGCTAAGATCCCCCCCAACCCAACCAGTAGCATGACCATCCTTTACTACGTTTTGACAGGGAAAATCAGTCCTCTTACTTCCCGGACGAACTCAATATATATTACCTTGAATCTTATTAAGGAGTATTTACGAAATATTCTTATGAACTAATTCTACATCTAAGTCATTGACATAGCAGAAACTCTCGAAATTTTAAATTGGTCATTTTTTTATACAACTTCAATAATTTACGTTTCGTATCAATTTAATCTAAAAATAGTTTTTCGAATTTAAAACTTTAAGGTATCTGCCTACGTTAAAAAAATGATTTCCTCGAAAAAATTCGATTTTTGTTAATTGCCCAATTTGAAAGGTCGATTTTGGGATTCCGAAAATGGTCATTTTTACGTTGTGATAATTAGAGAGAATATAGCCAATTAACTGCACTGGAAGTAGAAACAGAAAGTCCGGAAGTGCCATTTAAAAAGCTCAACTTAAAGGTAAACAATGTTGTTATCCATGTTTTTTTACCTGTTTGTGTGTAAATTGTGCTAAAACATTTCATTTTAATTCTAAACAAAAACTGTGCTAAAACAATTCATAATTTCATTTCATTTTAATTTTTTTTGTTTCTGGTAATAATTATTTGCCTTAATTTTTTTAACTAGGACTTTGCGGTTTTTAGAACTGGGTCTGGCACCATTGCGATTAGGTATAAAGACTATGTTGCTGGGTGTATATATCAGTTTTAATTTTTAATTCAGGGATTGGATTACTTCCTGTGTTTGAACATTTTAGGCAATCAATTGAACAAGAAATGATTAAAAATTACTTTGGAATGATAACGAAAGAATAAGAACTCGAAACGGCATTCGTAACATTTCGAAAATAGCCAGAAAAAAATAAATCAAATACGAATCAAAATTACTTAAGTATAAAGATAGCGAGGGTGTGATGTCAAATGTGGAGATTTAAGTGTGAAATACAACAGAACAGTTTTTCTGTTAATGTGAAATCTTTAAATGCGTTTTCTGGAAAACTAATTTTCTAGTGTTTTTACATACAAGAAAGTAATTATCAAAATGTTCTAAAGGTTTCTCTATTAAATTTCACTATAGTGTTTTCTATATTATTTAAGGTTTTAAACTACAATCTAAGTTATATTTATTAATTGATTGTTTTATAAGTATTTCTATATAAAACGATAAGAAATATTTACAAAAAACTGTGTTGTTTCATGTAATTACAATATTTTAGTAAATTTTAGAAATATCATAAACTTTAGTTCGTAACACAGATGAGTGTTTTAGTAGTACAAAGTATAAATAAAATTGAAAATATACTGTGGGAAAAAATATATGACATTGAGTACGTAAGTTTAAATTCTAAAAAGGGATAAAATTGCATATATTTCAAAAATTTATGAAAATATTCCTAAACATTTACCTATTTTCATGATTTGATATTATATTTTGACTAAAAAAATATATATTTCATCAGAATTCTATGTTTTTGAGAAAAAAGTGCTCCGAACGTAGGCAGATACCTTAAATGTTTTAATGTCCTTAGCATTTAAAGGCATAGAAATAATAATGGGAGAAGGAATTATTTCTCGTAATTAACTGAAGGGATCCGACGTACTTACTTACCACCAGCTGAGTTGCTGTACCGATGACTATCAGCATTTGTACTCAATTGGTAGAGTATTCTACTGTCGCTTGGCCTAGCCAAAAATCTCTGTAGAATATTTAAAGTCGTAGCGGAATTTATAAAGTTACTTCGGAAGACGGGTATTTGTGTCCTGTGGTCATTAACCCGCCGGAAAGCGCGTGGGGTGTATCATACCCCAACCCTGCATAAAAGTGGAATATTCCTAACTTGTGAAACTGTAATTCTGTGCTGCTTTCAGTAGCTAAGTTTCTAGTTGTGCTTGACGTTCAGAACGCTTTCCCTTTGCCTGAGTTTCAGAAAAGATTTATCGTTATTTTGGGAACTGGGGTATGACACACCCCACACGCCTGTCTCGTAAGTGTTTTGACTGAATATTAGTTCAGAAATTTATTCTAGAGTGTAAGTAAATATTTCTACTCGCAAAGTGATTTTAAAGTACTTGACATTAAATTCCTCAAAATTTCTAACTGCATTATGATAAAAGGAATGACTCCCTATGAATAGGAGATGCAACGCCTGTGAGATTTATTAGAAATATTTGAAAGCGATGAAGAAGCGATGATACCATTGTAGAAAATAAAACGTCAGGAATTATATGTTTTTATAATATGACTAAAGGAGCAGTGGATATGGGGGATGAAATGTCAGCCAATTATTCAATTGCCAGAATAACAAGGAGGTGGCCAATGGTAATTTTCTTTCCTGCACAGAATGTTGCTGTAATAAATACTTGAATTTTTACATTCAACTGCTAATCCACCACCAGAAACAGAAGTCTGTCTTGAAGACTTAGCATTACAATTAATGAAGAAAAAGTATTGAACAAAGATCAGAGATTAATACTTTACCAAGAAACTGACGTACTGATGTAAAAAAAGCAGAAGAGTTTCGACGAAGAATTAAACGAATACATGAATTCGAAGCAACTAAGTATGAAAGATGTTATAAATTTTTTGCCCTCGCGCAAGGACAGAAGAACGTGAATGCAATGTTTAAAATGTGAAAACATTCTGTGCCAAGAACACATGAATGTATTTCGTTTAAAGTGTGAAGAAATAAAATCAGCATTGTGTACTAGAGATGCAATGAAACTTAGAGGCATGATGTTTATTTTTTTATTATTTTCATTTATCTTAATTTTAATTCTAAGATTATTTTGGAAATTAATTTTTTGAAGCCCAATTATTATTCACTTATTCATAATACACGAGAACAAGAAAAACAGCTTTAAAACTAAATAATACTATTTTCATCGTATTTTAAATATTGGAGTATGTGATACCCCACGCGCCCTCTCTAGTAACTTTTGTTGGTTCGACTTCCGCCGGATTAAAGAGACCCTGTCAAGACTTAGGCTGTGCAGATTACGGATTTTAGCAATGTTTTATGTATTGTGATTCTGAGTTTACACAGAATGTTTACTCTAGAAGTCAGTGGTAACTTGATACAAGAATTTGCTCTAATGAATTAAAACAGGTTATTGTGAAAACATGATCAGCTTTGCTTCTATTCTCAACCATTATTATTTAATGCAGTATACTACAAAATACTACAACCTGTGTAGTAGACTCGATGTGCAGCATTTGTTCGACGTACGCTACTTTAGCGTAAAGAACTCTAATCAGTCTTGTTGCAAAAGTTTGTAGGATTCCTCACTGCATAATTCTAAGTTACTGTTGGAAGTGAAGAATCTTAAGAACTGATAAGCGAATAATCGCTTGAGTTCGTGTGACAGGAAACAACAAGATAGAAGGGTAAAATAACCCTTTATTATTCCAATTAAAGTTTAACAAAACTCCATCTTGGAGTTGTACAATAAAGCCGACAATTGGGCTTGAACTAAAGAAACTAAGAATTAAACTAAACTAATCTTAACTAAAGGAGATATAGTCAAAGCTATCAAGATTCTAACGGAGTTGGCCCCTAACGCTAATTGACTGCAAAGCTATCAAGGGCCTAAAGTACGGCCGAGCTTATAATAGCTTACGAGAGAGTAGCCTAAAAATGAGGACGCGTGCAGCCAGAATATCTGGTATGTCTCTCACTAAGACTGTAAAACTTCGCGGTTATATACCGCTCTTCCTCATTAATATTCAGACGTCATTCTAAAACTACGTTCTGGTCGGAAGTGGTAAGTTGAAGTAAGAATCAGTAGGAAAGGATGTTTAACTCAAAACTTAAATGTTAATAAAATTAACATAATCTTTACAAGATATTTATCTTATAAATTAAGGGAATATAGTACATATCAATCCCAGAGATATTTAAAAAATAAATGTAGCTCTTAACAATTTTTATCTTATTTTTAATTTTGAACAATGCAACTGTTTGATATGATTTTAAAATGTAGCTAATTTGAAATTTTTATGAACATATAAATGATCAGAGTAATAAAAATAAGGCTCTTCTAATCATTGAGGTTAATTAATGGCTACAGGATAATATTTTTGATCTCACACAGTGACCAGTTCTATTAAAGCACTTACTAATCATTTATTGCAATATGTAATATGTTTCACTTTTTTGAAAAATTCTGATGTGTACACCACATGACTTCCTTGTACGGAATATTAAATTATACGCATTTTTTGTTGCATTTCGTTTAAACTTATTGGTTTGAATTAAACCTACTTCGCTGACAGCGCATAAACCACAATAGAATAAATGCGTTCTTTAAAATTCACTTTTATATTTGTTTACCATAGCGACACTCTGGCGGTAGATTCACTTAATAGTATTATATTTCGTTCATATTATAACTCAGAATGCACCATATTTATATCATTTAAAGAATAGAATTATCTAATCGTTGCCACATGTTCTATTTAAATACTATAATAAATCTAGAAATAAAGAAGATAATAAATTGTAAAAAAGAAATTAAGCAAACAAAACAAAAAAGAAACAGTTTTTCACCGACGATTGAGTATTTCTCATTCAATTAATTCAGTTCTCACTTCGCGACAAGGCAAAAATACATAAAAAGTCAAAATATCTATATTAAAAATTACGAAGGAAATCTTAAACACATATTTCCTCGAAAAAATTCCAGAAAGGATTAAGTATGATTTAATTAGCAATAATAAATGAAAGCGTTATCTTTGTTGTTGCGAAGCTACATTTATCTAGATTGGCAACAAATCCATTACTCTGCTGTTTCAAATGAAAACAAGCAATGGCCGCCATCAAAAACATTATTAGGCTTAGCGGCACTTAAACAACTTTAAAATTGTTCATAATTCTTAAAATATTGCATACAGATTTACTAAAGGCATAAAAACATTAACCGGAAGATAAGAACCACATAATTCAGTTATTTTTAAAGCAAAAAATGTACAATTTACAAACATATAAAAGTAAAGATACTGAGCTCACTCAGCCGGGTAACAGAGTGGATATATTTATAAATATATTTATATACGTTTGGCGCCGCCGATCGCAACCAAAATCAGAGGTGCACATCTACATGTTATAGCAGTCCTGTATACACAATTTCAACGTTCCGAGGCTACTCGTTTTGGAGTTGTGCGAGATACGTACATACGTTCGTACAGACACGCCACGAAAAATTCTCTTCAGAATTCATTTTAAAGTAGTTTTATAATTTTTTTGGAGGAAAAGAGTGTTTTATTCTGTTCTTACGTACAGATATCACGCAAAAATATCGTTAAACTGCATTCGATAGCGGTGAAAATGGATATTTTCGTTGAAATATGCTACCTGAAACTTTTCGCGATTACAATACTTCCTTTTTACTTCGTACAAGGAAGTAAAAAAACGCCGTTTTTGATTTTAATTTGCATTTTATATTTCAGAACGAACAAATTTATCTGACTGTTCTAAATATATATGAACACAGCTGTAATCTAGAAAACTTGGGAAACCATCTGTTAAGAGCTTTATTCAAATGTAAGTCTAATTTTACAGTTTTCTTACTTTTTATTAACATTAACTAACATTGTTTCAAACATATTTTTAGAAAGCATATTACTTTTAATAATGCTTTAGAACCATTTATAGTGCATTATAATAAAGAAAAACTGCCTTCAATTTCTTTTTAATGTGTGTGACGGAATACCATAAATATGGCAAAAAGACCTTTTTTTCTTCTTCTAACACAAAAATTAACAATTACCCAACTTGGGTTCCAAGCACTTCTGACTTAACAGAATTAAATTAAATGTGGAAATTAAAATGAAACTAACTTGACTGGCCTCGGATATTTTCGCTATTACTCCGATATTTTAGGTTAAAATAACCCGCTGAATAATGATTATTGGAGAAGTCAAACAACAAGAATCAGTGTTATTTCGAGGGTTTAAATCATTGAAACTACTCCTGGAAAATTTACAAATATAACTCTGATTCTTTTGTTTGACATCTTCAGTATACTCCAATACTCCCACTCACACTCTATTCCAGTGTAATACAAGCTATAATTTAGGTTGAAAAAAAAATCTATCCTTGGAGTATTTGTTTTGGATCAAGAAAAAACGAAACGGGACACGCCACTATAAAGCGGTATGGAGTTTATCAGTGCCATTACAACATTTAATGCCTGCAAGGAAAGTAAATATTAGTCTGTGTTTAGTGTACAATGAACGAATACGTAAAATAAAACGTAAGTTGTATTTTTTTAGCGCAGGTCATCGACAACACCAACTGGCACGCTCAGATGCACAAAGACTTGTATCTCACTCTGGATTGGAACAGTCCTCACGTTGCGATGTCTGAAGTATTTTTGAAAGATCCCTCCAACAAGTTCAAGGTAAATCCCTATTCTTTTTAGTAAGTCAACGGCTTAATAATTTACTGAATAATATTTAAATTTTAAACGCAAATGATAAACATAAGTTCGAGCGCAATTGGAATGCACCAGTTTTCGCGCAAATAATCGTGAAGCAAACGTTTTAATAAAGATTTCTCCTTCTTCATTGGCTCGATAGTCCTAGAACGTCTCCAGTCATCTCTACTTTTGGCAACTGTTTTCCAGTTTTTAACCTTTAAAATATTAAGATCTTTTTCGACACAATCAATTCATCTTAGCGGGGGCCTGCCTCGAGGTCTATTTCCCATAGACTTTGCCAGAAAGATTTTCTTGCAGCAAGGATCTTCATTCATTCATTCTAGCCAGATGGCCAGCCCAATTAAGTCTCTGTAATTTGGCGAATTTTACAATATCAAGCTATTTGGGAATTTTATAGAGTTCTAAATTAGATCTTCTTCTCCATGATCCATTCACTTAAAGCCCACCAAGAATCCACGTAGGATCTTTCGCTCAAAAATTCCCAAAGCTTCTTCATCAAGCCAATGCCGAAGTATCTCATGCATAAGTCAAGACAGATCATTACAAAGATTCAGTAATGGAATATCGGAGTTAGTATCCTCAGCTGCAAAACCGCAAATGATAACCTCAACTGCAAATGCGGTTTTGCAGCTGAGGATGGTGGTTCGGTAAAACAATCGAAACTAGTCCTGTGAAAATTTTGAAAATATAACGCTGATTTTTGTTGTTTGACTTCTGAATTAGTATTTATTTGGCGTGTTATTGTGTCTTAATTACAAAAACTGTTTAAAATAACAAGGAGCTCTAAGTTTATTTCCTGATAGATAGAGAAGGATGTTTTCGAAGAGGCATTGTTGAGACCCCAGAGGGAGAGTTTCGTCGACCTCTTTTTGACTCAAGGATTCCAAGTCCACAAATACTTGACACCAAGGAGGCTCATCTTGCTCTTCAGAAAAGTGAGATATCAAGAATTCTTCCAGACAGTCTGCTGGGAAGGAGCTCTTGGATACGGGCCGGTAATCTTCTTGAAATTTGTGAATCTCGTTTATTTTTTAACACAACGTACCATCTTGTTGATGAAGGATATGAAAGAGCCATTTCTTTCGTGTGCTTGTTTTCGTTTTATTTTTATCTGCGACAGATTATTGAATACAATCGCGTGCGTTCGGGTTCATAATAGATTGAATGCACAAATCCGATAATAGGTTAATAAAATGTATTCTTATCAAAAGAAATGTATCAGAACTGGGGAATTTTCCTCAGAGGTATTCGTAAAAGCGTTCACAATATCAAGCAATATAATCAGTAGTTATACTTCGAACTACTAGAAACATTAAATATAACGCAACGCAAAACGCATCTAAAGAGAAAACTAACTCTGATATCTCAGTTCACACGGAACTAAACAACTCGCAACAACAGTGACTAAAGGTCAGTTTACACCTGTCAGAGCGGCTCGGAACGAGTCGCTCGTTACGATTACTTTGACAGTGTAAACGCTCACTTCGAGGGAGTAGAAACGTAGGGGAGATGAGTCAGCGCTTCCGTTTCTACTTTGAACCTGTTGAAAATCTATCCGGGCATTTAGTCCGAGCAGCGTTCGCAGGGACATCGTGATAGTGAGTTCTATAATGCCGAGATGTAAAGCGATAGCCAAACCACGGCACTTTTTAATGCATACGCATCTTATGAAGTGTTTTAGGGAACACTTCACTGCTTCATTAGATTTGCATCTTCTATAATTATGTAGAGCTTATATTCGTTTTTCTACAAGCATCCTACATGATGATGCAATAATATATGATATTATAAACATAAAAATAAAAATGAAATTATGAAAAAAATAATAGATCTGTTTTATTTGGATATTTAAATTTCTTGCTTGTATAAAAGCATTCTGGGCTATAATTCGTTAAAATTCAGCTTGGATGTGAAACTGTTCAGCTTGGATGTGTGTACTGAAGGTGTATTAAGGCTTATACAAATTATGCTAGATGAATTCTATCTTCTTAAACTATCCGTTTTAGCATTTTAAAAGTAAAATATAATCACTATATTTAACCATTATTAATTTGTTGATATCACTTTGGTGTTGTCCAGAAACAATTTAAGTAGGATCCAAAAGTAAGAATTTGAGATAAATATCTCCTGTTGGAAATATGTCATAATATACATATTCTTTTACTGTGGTAATATATGTAATGTCCTAAGTTTTTTGCTACTTATTTATTAAGATTTTCTGAATAATTAGGTAGATATATACATTTTACTTCTGCCGTTGCTTTGAATAAATTTTATGTGTTAATTTTGCATTCTTCTCTAGAAATAACACAGTTCCAGTCAGAACTCTGCATAATTAATTACATGCACAAGAGCTATTGATTCTGTGGATTCTGGATGAATAAATATATTCTCTCTATTAATAAATAATAAAACACATTATTACTTTTACATTATTTTGTAAATGATTAATTAGATGTAAATAAACAGTTGTATATAGTAGAAAAACTCATTAATTTGAATTTCATACACAGTTGACTAAATAACTTCTCTCAAACTGAGTTTCGTTTAATTCTTCTATCTGATATGAATAACGTTTTGTAACTTTGGACATTCTCGTCCGAAATTCATTTAATAGTTCATTTGATACTCCTAATTCATCGCGGCAAGCTACCCAGTCACGTACCCATTTCCTTTTCTTCTCCTTTTTTTTCCCTCGCAAGAGCAGAAATTAATTCGTTTGAAAAACTGCTTCCCGACTTCAAGCACTGCAGCCAAAGAACACTATGTATGTTCAATGCATATTCTTCCTGCAGCTGCCACGTCGGTATCCATTTCGTAAACAAACGGAGGCGAGTTGTCAGTCCACTCTGATTGGTGTAAACAATCTATCAGAGTACAAGTCCATTCACTCGGTTCGAAACGCACGGACGAGCGACTCGCTACGAGCGGCTCTGACAGATGTAAACTGGCCTTAAGCAAATGAACTCAGGCGCTATCTCTCCCGCTTTTCATACCTTTCAACCGGTCGGGAGATATTTCGAGTACTTTCTTTTTCTCGAAATTACCGGGAAGCAATATGAGGACGGAATGATGGTTACGAATAACATGGTGGTCAATTACGTTTATTCAGTTTGTAGAGACATTAGCTATTTTTGAACCAGGAGAGATGACAAACTGAACAATGCCGTAGCCGAGACTCGAACCACGGACCTCTCGATATGCGCCGAGTGTGCTGACTACTACACCACTAAGGCATGTTAAGGTAGCGGAAGAATAACTTATATACCCCCCTTTAAAGGGCGACTGGGGAATAGGGCTCCAATCGCCAAATCGTGGTGGTGGTGAATCATCATCTACCAACCTTTTAGTTCGGTTCAACCAACCTGTGGAGACATTAAATTATTTCGAAGCTAGAGAGATGAAACATGAGCAATGCCCTCGCGGGGACTCGAACTACGGATCTCTCGAATACGCGCCGTGTTTGCTGACCGCTACACCACGAAGGCGGAAGAAATACCTTATCATTTGTTCTAGTTCTGTTTGCCGGTTTGCATATAAGCATTCTGTACCGCGCCACGCGCATAGGGAAAACTCTGCACTTGTGATTGGACATGCTTTCGAATGACATCATTTTCTCTCGGCGTAATGAACTTTAGGGAAGATTCTTACGGTTTTGCTTTGGTTGAATGACACGGAAGCGTGAAAATTATCGTTTGTTTTCTTTGGAGCGAAAAACATTAGTTGCAGCGCTCTGCAGATGGCTTTCTGTTTCATGGAATAATAAAATTATAAAATCTGTCAAAGATGCTGTTAATATTAGAAGCAATCTTAAGCACTTAGATTATATAAATAGCTGAGTTCATGAATTTAGTGCAAAAACCAAAACACGACGTTCTCAATGCAACTGTAAAAGCATTGTGTGCTAGTAAGTATGCTATAATTATTGCAATTCTGTTGTATTCTGTTCCTTTCGCATTGCAGAAAATATTTCCTTTGCGAATGTTGTGTTATTTCCATGTTAATGTGCATGTCTTTACATTTCTAATATTCTGATGCTTTAAATAAAAGAAAAAAGTGCATTCAGTATCGTCGCTGAATTTAATGCACGTGTATAAAAAAAGAAATTGACTTCTCTGACAAACACTATCTTTACGCAGAGGTACAAAAGACGTTACACATTAAAGAAAGAACAATATTCATAAAGTAATATTATTTAATTTAAAATATCTAACTTTATTTCTCTGTTCTAAATCTACACAAAAATAAATTAATAATACAACAGCTTTAATTAGAAGGGTTTTAAATTAAGAATACATTTATTAAAAATCTCTGCCATTAACACAAATTTACGGAGATAACACAAGAAGAAATAATACTTTTTCTGCGTAGGAAAAAACAATCACTATATATTTTATAATAAGTTTACCACACTACAGTGTTGTAATCTCATAGCAACAAAAATACAACGCACGTAGTAATCTTTTTGGAACTGCTATCAAAATGTAAACAAACGGTATGGAGGTGTACCCTCGAGCCAAAGCAAAGTCAAGACATTCCTAAGCGTAGAGGAATTTATGTCATCGGAAGTCATATCCAATCACAAGAAGGGATTGTCCCCTATGTGCGTGGTGCGGTACAGAATGCTTATATGCTGTTGGTTCTTATCCCACCGCGTGTTCAGTAAAGCTGCGTTCAGACGGTGGCGTAAAGGGCATAAAATACGGGAGCTCCGTTCACACATGCGAGAATGGTGTGTAAGCCGTGGCCAATGAGAGAAGCTAAATTTGCGCCTGCGTGGATGTGTCTACAACTTTCTCGTGCTGTTCTCCTGCGCGATTGGTTTCCCGCGTTCGCTCTTCTTGTTGTGTGACATCGAAATCTTCTGCAGAAAGCCGCTTCGTTTTAGCTTCGCATTGATTGGTCGACGCTTATCACAAACTCGGCGTAAAGTTGAAAACTTTGAATCCTATGCCACGAGCCCTAAATCAGAAACATAGCGTTCCCTGAAAACTGATTTTTTGCATACCACCCCCCTAAAAACCTGACTTTTTTCTACACTGTAGGTTGTAGCAGCGACAGGAAGGAGTATTTGCGACTTTTTTTAAACAAGCTGAATATGTAACGATAAAGAGAGCTACTTTGTATATAGCGGGGAAATATCAAATATACTACATTTCAAGTCCTTAATGATTGATGTTTACATTATAGATATAAATTTTTTTAAAACTACAATAATTTAAAACAATCAGAACTTTAAAATGTCTTTACTAAATTACCCTTTACATAATATTACATAATTTTTTAATCTTTTTATTAAACTTTACTATGTTTTGTTTACTTTCTTTGTTTTTAATATTTCATATTCTACTCCCCTTCAAAAAGTTTTTTTCATATTTTTTTCTTATAATAAGTTTACTTTCTTGCCTTTTTCACTTATTTATCTTTTATTTATTTATTTTTAATTTTATATTTAAATATTTACATGTGCAACATTCCTAATTCGTTTGTATTAATATTAAAATTCATTTCCATTTTAAAATTTCATTTGATCTTGCTTTTACTCATATGTTTGATATAAATGGATTATGCTAGTTTTATTTACTTTTAAAATTAGCAAGGTAGTTAGGCAAGGTTCCCACACCTTGTTACCGAAGTGCACGGGTAGAGCCTATATCATGTCAGGGACAGTATAGGATACCGGCCGTCCCTTGCAATTGCACTTCATCCCACCTCCCACCCAATGTATTTAATGATATTTTTATTATTTACTTCGCTAATTCTTCAGTTTATTTGATTCTGAAATGACCATGAGCTAAAGTATGGAAACCATTTGAGAGTATATATCTTTTATCATCAAATGCACTTAAGCCAACTTTTCTCATTTCCACAGTACTAATTTTATGATGTTTTGATGCAATTTTCTTCATTGTCACTTTTGACTGCTCATTACTAAACAAACAATGTTTATAATCATCATGTGAGAGTACATTTTTCACAATACATCTAGATATAGCTTTGGAAGTTTTTTTTTCTCTTCTTTAGCAGATATGAGACTGTACATTTTTGCTCTTAATCCTATAAATTCAATCGGAGGAACACCTGAGAATTCATCTTTCATTTTTCCTAATACTTTTTTATTCTTAGAGGAATATGCAAAGTGCGTCTTAGGAAAATTAGATAAATCAAAATAATTTTCAATTTTCAGCATCTCTTCATAGACATCCCCTGTTTTAATTTCGTAGCATAAAGAATCTGTGTCAGTAAAAAGTAATTTAGCATTTTTACCATATTTTATCTTTATGAAATCATAATGAAAACTGTACATAAGAGTCTTACTAATGTCTAGTACGGAACATCCAACGTATATGGGTCGATTTAATTTAAGAGATGTTTTCTTCATATTTACTGCTGCAAAATCATCATTAAAAATCGTAAAACCTTTTAAACGCGGGAGATGCTACAAGTTTTTTCAAGCATTTTTCATTATTTACCAATCGTATATCGACACGATTTCTCAAATTTTCTATCGTCTTCCCAAACACAGAATTGTTCATTAATTTGAAAAAGTCTTTCTCGAACTCTTTTTTGCTAGTTTTCGTTGTTCTGTGTTAAATTCGATATACGGTTTCCTCCATGTGTCTTGCTTGAATTCAATAACTCGATGAATTTTTTTTCAAATCCATTCCCAACTTAACATACTGTTTCAGATTTTTTGAATACAGTACATACATTTTCTTATCATATACAGGGGTTGGACAAAAATATAGAAACACCTTTAAAAAACATGTTTCTTCGCTTAATATGGTGTAGGAAACCCGTTGGCATCCAAAACAGCTTGCAGTCTTCTCGGAATGGATAAATACAGTTCATGTATGTTTGCCAAGGGAATATTATACCATTCTTCCTGCAAAACGGTGGCAAGTTCAGATAACGATGTTGGCGGTGGATAACGAGAACGCACTTTCCGTTCCAATGTAGACCACAAAGGTTCGATAATATTCAGGTCTGGTGACTGTGGTGGCCAGAGGGGATGGGACAACTCATCCTCGTACTCAGAAAACCAGTCCTGGACAATGTGAGCCGTGTGAACAGGGGCTTTGTCGTCTTGGAAGACACCATCACCATCGGGGAACAAAGCTTGTACCATGGGATGAACTTGATCGGCCAAAATGTTCACATAAGTCTTGGCAGTCATGTGGCCTGGCACAGTTATCATGGGGCTAGCAGAGAACCACGATATGGCTGCCCAAACCTAACAGAACCCCCCGCCATGTTTCACTCTTGGCAACAAGCATATTATAGGCTTGAGATGGCGTTCTCCAGACGTAAACTCGGCCAGAAGTGGGAAACAATGTGAAAGAAGACTCGTCAGACCATATTACTCGCTTTCACTGCTCTATAGTCCAGGCTTTATGACTTAAACACCACCTTTGCCTGTTACGGGCATTAGCATCACTGATGAGTGGCTTCTCAATTGCAGCACGGCCAGCAACTCCCTGTTTTATGAAGCTCCCTTCTAATTGTTTTGGTACTCACAGGCTTCGGTAGCACAACATTCATTTCAGCAGTAACTTTTGCAGCTGTGGTTTTCTTATTTTTCGTCACAATTGCCCTTAATGATCGTCTGTCACGATCACTCAGGACACACTTTCGTCCGCGCTGTGATTTAGCAGATGATGTTTTTCCGCTTTTCAAATATGCGGAATAAATCTTCGATACAGTACCTCTTGAAACACTAAACACCTCGGCTACCTTGCTTACGGAAGCACCTACCATACGTGCTCCAACAATTTGCCCACGTTCGAAGTCTGTTAACTCTGACATAATGCAATGACAACCTCACATAACAGTACTCCGACAACAACTGAACTGTTTAGCACATTTACGAAGTTGTATAGGTGGCGTCAGTAGTCAAAAACGCCAGCGCCACCTACATGTTTCATTAAAATCAATCTTTCTTTTCAAACATGCATTTTCACAAGGTGTTTCCATATTTTTGTCAATCCACTGTAAGTTAGGAACAAGTTTCATAGCATTTCCAAGAAATAACCCATTCCGACTTTCAAGCATCTTTTTGCAATAAGATTTCAAGCATCTTTTTGCACAGACTGGTTGCCTTAGCAACGGAGTTAGGCTTTAGCCACTTATGCTCTTTACGCCCTCGTCTCAACGCAGCTTAATGCAACATGTTTGTGTGAAATAACGTGATATTTAGCTTTTCCGTCTAGTTAATGAATAACTAATTAAAATGAACCTTGAGATAAGTAAAAATTCATTTTTAGGTGAATTACTCTAACAGTCACTAATAATTAATTTAATTATTATTTTTTCTTTCAAATTAGCTCTCGAATCCGAATAAGAACTTCATAGAATACGATCTCAACTGGCTGATCAAGAAAACGACATCCATAGAGAACTTCATCAGCTCTCAAGAGTTATCGCTGAACGCCATGGGTATGTACACAAGCGACCCCACAACAGCCGAACGTAAAGCCAAGGTGCTACTCACATTTTGGGCTACATTCACGAACCGAATCATTTTGGCAAAAACTCTCTGGAAGCACGCAGATCAGCCCATACACTTGGCTCTTGTATTATCGATGATGATAGAGAGATTGTCTTTTTACGTGAACGAAACATCTCTAAAAGCTGAAGTGGAAGAATCCAGCAGGTTAGTTCAGATAAAAATATGATCATTTTCTTTTTACGTGTAAGTAACTTTGGCTGTTTGATATTTTAGAATATAGTGCAGCAAGTTTCAGTAGTTGTAAAATAGCTTTATAGTAATATACCAATTCCCTGAAACATGAAAGAAGGTCTATAATACATGAAAGAGATATTTTCCCTGTTCTTCAAATTAAACTCACAGCTCGGTATAAAGGTGAAGCACTGTTAATTCTCATGGTATACAGAGGGAGTTTATATATTCACTGTGAAAAATATAAATTCATTCTGTTTGAAAATTATTTCTACTGCAGGCAAAACATTTGAGAGTGAACAGTTATTAATTACGGCAAAGCACACAGGGTGGGAGGGATTGCAGTTTCTAAGGGAAATGGCTCGTATACACGTTACACATGGGGGGAAAACCATGAAAAAGCCATGCAGCCAGCCCGTTCGCGGATTCGAAGACCGACTACAGTGTTCAACACTTATAATGTGAAATTTAACACACGAAATATGTGGAAATGCAAATCAGTAAAGTTCACTTTGAATAAAACCGTGCATTGACTTTTATCATAGAACATCTTTTTCATATAGACTGTAAGAATTGGAGGCTCCCTTCAGCCCACCTGGACACGAATGCCCCCATAGCTCAAGAGAAGGGGCCCCCGAATCTCCACAAACGAGGGCAGCCAGTAACCCAGCCACCCCCAAGCAACAAACAAAAACACTAAGTCAAAAATAGGTAAGCACATCTAACACAAAATTGCAGACCAACAAACAAACAAAACAAAAAAAAAAAAAAAAAAAAATGCCATGAACACAAATTCACAACATAAAACACCACAGATATCTAAAACACATATAAATACAAAATTCAATTTTTTAACAGAAGATTCCTACCAGCGACCTATTTTCATTGATAAACTTCATTAGAGCAATAGAATATGATTTAAAAACTTTAAAATTAATGACACTTACATTAAAATCAGTAAATGTTAAAAATCTGTCTAATAGGGGCTGTTAAACTACAATCAACCACGAAATGCCTAGCATCACCATCAACCTGACAACTATTACATAATTTATTTTCCTGCAGATTAAATCGATTGAAATATAACGGAAACCTACCATGTTCAGTTAAAACCTGATTAACATCAATATTGTTCATACATTTCATTTTATTTGTGATTTTAATTAGTTCCATAAATCCTTTGTTTTTAGGTGAAAAGAACCACTGTATTTTCCACTTGTTAACGTAAAATTTTCATTCTTCGAATAGCAATTCTCTTCGAACCTGTTACTTCAATATCCATTGCACTGACATTTGAGGCCGCCTGCTTGGCCAGGCTGTCGGCCGTCTCATTACCAATAAAGCCTATATGGGCTTTAACCCAATGTAGCTTAATATTTAAATATGAACTCAAAGTTTCTAAATGACTCTTAATTCCGACAATTAATGGATTAAAATTGTCTGGGCGGGAGAGCGTATGGAGAAGTGACAGGCAGTCAGTGTAAATATTTACAGACGTGGGTATAAACAAGGTATTTTTAATCCATAATAAGGCTTGTTTGAAAGCTTCACTTTCTCCCTGGAAGACTGAATTATATATGTTCAACTTGAACATTCTATAATCCACCTCTTCCATAGTAAAAAACAACAAAGGCAGCTCCTACGCTATTTTTGTATAGACTGTGTAAGAATTATGTTAATTTTCCTATCAGTTAAATTTTTAGTTAAAGTTCCTTTTCTATCGCGCCTTAATTTCAGCTTATAACTTCCGGCCAGAGCGTAGTTTTAGAATCACGTTTGAATGCAAATTTAAGGAGTAGTATTTAACCGCGAAGTTCTACTGTCTTAGTCAGAGAGAATCAGAGATTCTGGATAGCACGCGTCCGCCTTTTCAGGCTACTTTCTCTTAAGCTATTATTACGCTCGGCCGTACTTTAGGCCCCTTGATAGCTTCGCAGTTTATTTAGATATAGATGTTAAGGGGCCAATTCTGTTAGAAGTTTGATAGCTTCGTCTATATCTTTTTAGTTAAAATTAGTTTCGTTTAGTTCTTAGTCTCTTAAGTTCAAGCCCGAGTGTTGGCTTTATTGTTTAACTCCAAGAAGGAGTTCTGTTACACCTTATTGAAATAATAAAGGGTTACTTCACCTTTCTTGTTGTTTTCTATCCCACGAACTTAAGCGATTATTCGCTTGCTAGTTCTTAAGATTTTTCACATTCAACTGAAAATTACACAGTACAGAATCTTACCACTATAATAAAAAATGCTAAGACTTTAACCAGTTACTTATATAATTATATCTAATTATGCTTATATTTGATCTAACTTCGCACTGAAAATTTTCCCAAGAAATGCAGATGTTTTAATTATTTTGTATAGGAAATTGCGTGCCAAAACATTTTCAACGACCTTGTTTAAAGCGCGTCAAAGATCATGTGAAATGACAGGTGGCGATATAGATGTGCACTTACTCCCTAGGTGGCGATATACATGTGCACTTACGAAATATGCGCCCGGGGCCCTGTTCAGCCTTTGGGGATAAAGTGAGAGTTTTTAAAAAGTCTGTGTTGCGGGATTGAGGCCTCCCGTAACTGAACAAATGAATTTGTTCCAATCCCTCTTTTGGGACTTTTTCTACGGACACTAACCTGCCTCCCTCCACATACGGAAATTGTTTATGGGGGGGTAGCCTTGCTCGCATTTAGGTGCAAGAAACGTAATACAAAATCTGATTAATTTCCTAAAGGTTAAGGGATTAATCTTTAGTTTCGTAATTTTTGTTTTCTAGAGAGTTCGCTGACATTGCGACTTCGATGCTGGACGCTTGCTATGAAGACGATCCGGATCGAGCTTTTGATGTCCTGAACGAAGAAAGTCCAGAATGGGCCTACAGTACTGCAGTAGACATCGCAGCCCAAGCACAAAACAAACGCTTCCTTTCCCATATTTGCTGCCAGAAGTGGCTGACTAACGAATTCTTCGGGAAAATCAAGATCCGCGACCTCTCTTGGGGAATTTTCACAGTACCCACCAGCATCAAGGTAATAAATGCAGTGTGTTAATCTTTCTTATTTCGGGTTCCCTATTATGCGCAACGACCTACAAGATTAGCTACATTAATAATGGCATACTAATTAAAGTCTTCGGATCATTAAAACTGTCAGAAACCATCTTCTTTTGTCTTGTAATTTAAAAAAAATCTGATGTGTGCACCACATGACTTTCTTGTACGGAATTATACGCATTTTTTTTCCTACATTTCATTTAAACTTGTTAGATTAAATTAAATTTACTTCTTCCATAGCGCATAAACCAGAATAGAATAAATGCACTCTTTAAAATTCACTATGTTTGTTTACCACAGCGACACTCTAGCCCTAGATTCACTTAACAGCGTTACATTTCACTCATTTTTCAACTCAGAATGCACCAAATTTATGTCATCTTAAGAATTATCTAATCGTTGCCACATATTCTATTCAAATACTACAATAAATCTAAAAGGATGTATAAAAGAAATTAAACGAACAACAACAAAAAAAAGTTTTCCACAAAAAATTCGGTATTTCTCATTCAGTAATTCAGTTTTCACTTCGCGACAAGGCAAAAATACATAAAAACTCAAAATATCTGTATTGAAAATTATGAAGTAAATCATATTTCCTCGAATAAATTCCAGAATGGAAATTGAAACATGATTTAATTCGGCAATAATAAATGAAGGCCTTATCTTTGTTGTTGCGAAGCGTTACTCTCTCTCTAGATTGGCAACAAATCTATTATTCTGCTGTTTCAAGTATAAACAAACATGTCCGACATGGCAAAAATAATTAGGGTTAGCGGCCCTTAAACAACTTTTAAATTGTTGATAATTCTAAAAATATTGCATGCAGATATTCTAAAATTATTGCATGCAGATAATTCTAAAAATATTGCATGCAGATTTTTCTAAGGCGTAAAAACCTTAACGAATTCTTAACAGGAAGATAAGAATAACATAATTCAATCATTTTTAAAGCAAAAAATGCAAATTTACAAACATATAAGAATAAAGAAACCGAGATTACTGAGAAGAGTAACAAAGTGTACATATATATATACACATGTTTATATACTTTTTGTGCGAGCAAGATACGAGGTGCACATCTACATGTTATAGCAATCCTATATACAAAATTTCGAGGTCCTGAAGCTACTCGTTTTTTGAATTATGCGAGATACGTATATACGCACAGACGCCACGAAAATTTCCCTTTAGACTTCATTTTAAATCACTTTTACAATTCTTTGCGATTAATGGATTTAGGATTTAGGATTAATGGATGGGGAGAAGAGTCCTTTATTCTGCCCTTACGTACGGATGTCAGGCAAAAATATTGTTAAATTGCATTCGATAGCGGTCAAAATAGATAATTTTCGTTGAAATATGATGCCTGAAGTTTTTTGCGATTACAATACTTCTTTTTTACTTCGTACAAGGAAGTAAAAATATAATTTTTCATAATGAAAGATTGGTTTAAATCAGAAGGTATCTTTATTCTTTTTAGTTTACAGAGTTTTTAAGAAGAAATATTGTGGTTTTTATATTTATTTACAAGAATTATTAATATTGTTGTTTCCTCAGGTTATTTTGTGTGCTTTCCTCGTATTTCCGATGTACGGTTGGACTATATTCCAGACTAAAGAAACTCTTTCCATGCAAGAAGATAAAGATATTGGAGGTACATGATTGAAATTCTGTGCTTAGTTATTATTTATAAACCTCACATAATATGAAATATAGACTGCATCACTAAAGTAATTTAAATTGAAACTGAATATCTGAAAGGTACTTTGCCTTAAATTTCAAACTGAATGCGTGTGAGTTAATTAACCTTAAACTTAATCCTCCGTTTAAGGACGGTATTCTTCAATCATTTAAGTTGAGGACGAAAGATATTTTTGAAACTAAACATTAAAAGCGACCTCTGCACGTACGAATTTCGTGGAAGGTAACTGTTTCTTGATTGATTCTAGACACATAGTATTTTCAATAACAAAAATAGAGCATTGTTTGTTCAAGTAACAATATTCGATTTAATATTAAACGGAAATAACTTTATGATTCCCCACTATGAAGTACATTCTTACAGTGCTCATATACTTTCCCTTTTAGGTTATGAAATTTTTGAGATAACTATTCTTTCATAAAGGGTTTGGTTTGACTTGGCTTGTTTAATTATAGAAAAGTACTCGAGGGTTGTCTCGTTTAACCTCTTCGTCGTCCGTAACGCGTCTAGCGCGTTCAAGTGAAACTTCCACAGGGCGGCTATAACGCGCCTCAAGCGTTCTTCTACATTTTAAAACTTTTAAACGTTTTAAAACTCTTTCTAAATTTTTACTTGTTTTAGTTTTTATTTTTGTTTGTTCTAACCTTTTAACTGTCATGCCCGAGATAATCTCGGGTACAGCACTGGTGTTCGAAAATGTCACGCGCGAGTATTACTCGGGGTAATTTTTATTGAGTGCATCGTATTGTTATACCCGAATATATATCGCGAGACGTTTATTTCGGCTTCATCTCTTTGTCAAACCCGTCTGTATCTCGGGAAAAGTTAATGTGCGCTCAGTTCAATAGATGACAGCACTTTACTGAAGATTTCAAAGGTTAGAGGGTTATTTGGTTCAAAGTGCATGGGGTCTTTTTGCTGTAAAATAGCCTCCAGTTCTTTGAAACGTTATATAGATGATTTAGATTCTTCAACCGAAGGTGAAGGATGTGTGTTGATGAGCAGTATTATGATACTTCATGTCAGCCTCAAATAAAAAAATGGACGATATACTCACCGAGATTCTAATTACGGTCCAACTATGGGTGGGGAGCGCTGTGATTAGGAAATATCCTTCATCCCAAATCCGAAAGTCAGAAAAAATTATAAAAAAGATATTTTTACATTTGCTAGACAAGTACTCTGGAACTATATTTCCTCTATAAAAATGTAATTGGAAACGTATTACATTTTTAGAATATCGATCCAAGTGTGGAAGAGCTTTTACATAAATATAATGATGAGCTTTGAAACAAAGCAATGTTGGCAACACCTACAATAGACCCTGCCCGTCTTACTGAACGACATTTTATATCCCATTTTCCTTTACTCCTGCAAACGTGAGCCTACAAGACCAGGCAAAGTGTGTTGTTCGAAAGATAAAATGGGGAAAAGATAAGGAAGGAATCAAGATTCTGGGGTGTGATTTTGTGGAGTGGTTTGTGCTTGGAAAAGTGTTCCAGTTGTACACACAAGACGAATTACTGAACTACTAATAGGTTTCACTTATTTATTTATGTTTTAGAAAATAATTAATTTTTTCAATTTTAGAAATAATGCTCCCTAGAAGCGAACTTTGCAACTGCATGTTGAGTGGCAGCCGCCTCAAAACAATATGCAGTGCTACAAAACTTAAAAATTACCCATTACGTCAAAATATCATTTTTAACTACTTAAGTATATTTAGTTTGTACTAAAAATTTGGTTTTGTAATAAAAACATTGACAATTTGTGTACCCAAATCATCAAATAAACTTGACAGTTAAAGGGCTAATACCTCCTAAGGGCAGCATTAATCAGGCATTCTATTCTAATTCATTTGCCCAGGTTTTCTGCATATTCGCGCATTTCATACAAGACAGTGAGAGACGGCTTCAACGTCTACTCAGCAAGATTAAGAGAAAATAGGGGTGAATTGGAAATACAAAGGATATACGTTTGATGAGTACAGTCCATAATAACTCGATGATTGATATTGGAACACGGAAAAGAACTGTAAAAAAATCAATAATTGCAAAAGATTACAACAACAAAATGGGAGGAGTATACCGCCTGGAACTGATATTATCAAATTATCCTGATGTTAGAAATAAGCAGATATATTATTTTTCCATTATGCTTTATTTCCTTATAATTTTACTTAATATTCATTGACATTCATCCACTACGAAAGTTATATATGGAAAGTTATGATATACAGAGAAAACAACATTACACGATACGAAAAACAGAAATTTTCACGGATAGGAGAGGACGGCGAAAGGAAGGAATGCCTTCGCGGAGGACTTTCTAAGGTAAACTGGCTTGTATACCCATTACGTGAGGAAAATCAGGGAAACATATAACGTAGCTAGCCCGTTCACAAGAATGCGAACCCCAAACCGAACTAGTAGTGTTCAATGACTTTCACTTGGCCCTTGGCGAGTTTCCGGTTATCGTGTTTTTTGAATTTGAATACGCTATGTTTATAGTGAAAGATAGAAAAATGCAGTAGCTGAAATTTAACATAAAATACAGATGCAAATAAAAATTATCGCGAAATGATATGCTGCAAGTGTAAACTTCTTGCGAAATTGATATAAATTTTTGCCTGTTAAAATGTTAAATACGAATCAAAGGAAATTATTCTGCAGCATAACTGTAAATTATATAATAATGAAATGGTATTTAACAAGATTACTAAGTTAAAAAGTTTTGTAAGGAAAAGAACAGAACTACATGGAATAATTACACTGTAGCACGTAAGATACACACCGACAACACCGAACGTCGTTTCTACCGAACTTTGCACCTTTTTCACATTTATCTTGCTGTTGTTATGATAATATGAGCAATAATAGTTTGATATTGAATCAAACTGAAGATCAGTTAACTTGGCGAAAAATTAATACTTATTAATATTAAGCTAAGGTTTAAATAACAGGAATTACAAATCCCTATTTTAATACGTTCAACAGTTAGTAAAAGGTTTCTTTGTTTTGCCAAATAGTTAACATATAGCATTATAGCTTCACTTTAGAAAATATAGTGTTAGAAATAATATTATTTTTGGGGAAAGAAGTGTGAACGGTGATTTTATTCTATGCGTAATATGTTGGGATTTTTGGTAAGATTTTAGTGCATTTTTATATATATATATATGTGAACTGTGAAATAATCCCCAATTCTCGTGTCTGATAACCCAAACGCTTTCTGGGAGGCGCTGCTCTCAACTCTGTGAAGAGATTGCTTTAAAGCAGGCCTATGACCCGCGAGTCACCGAATAACTCAAGTTGCAATAACGAAAATGCATTTTTATTTTTTAAAAATATATACAATTTCATAAAGAAATCGATAAATTTGGCAACGCCAATCCGTAATCCATAATTCCAAATAATCAGCTTTGCCAGTGTGCCCGCATTCGGCTCAACTTATAAATGCGAGCCAATATTTTAACACATGACATTTGTTTTAAGTAAGAACTCTTATCTACCGGAAATCTACTCTTATCTATCGAAAATTAAGATACTTTAATTAATCTTAAGACCAATAACTGTAAGTCAGACTTGATTAAACTTATATCACCAAGGTTCAGCATCAGAGGAGCCATTGATATCGAAACGAAAAATAAATTTCATTCAATTACGTTTGTTTTGAGAATAATTATAATTTTAATTTCAGTTTTTAAGTTTAAAGTTCAAAATAACTATAATTATTGTATTAATTAAGTAAATTAGTGAAAAGACAGTTAATTAAAAAAATACGTAAATTATGTAAATTATTGTTATTATCTATTAATTAAGTAACAAGTAAAAATGTAAAGTAATTGGAATTAAAAATTGTAATTATAATTCAAAGTAATTGTAATTATTGTAATTAAGTAAATTATAGTAAAAAGTGTATAAATCAAGTAAATATGAAAATTATTGTAAATTGTATCTAATTAATTAGGTAATATATAAAAATGTAAAGTAATTTGAGTTAAAAATTGTAATTATAATTCAAAGTAATTGTAATTATTGTATTAATTCAGTAAATTAGTAAAAAGTGTATTAGATGAGCAAAAAGTAAATTATTGTTTTATCTATTAATTAAGTACACGTAAAAATGGAAGTAATTGAATAAAAATTGTAATTAAATTCAAAAGCAATTGTAATTATATTATAATAAGTAAGTAAATTAAAGTAATTGGAATTAAAAATTGTAATTATAATTCCAATAATTGTTAATTGTAATTAAGTAAATTATAGTATATTAATCAAGTAATATGTAAATTATTGTATATCTAATTAATTAGGTAATAAGTAAAAATGTAAAGTAATTTGAATTAAAAACTGTAATTATAATTCAAAGTAATTGTAATTATTGTATTAATCAAGTAAATTAGTAAAAAGTGTATTAATTGAGCAAATAAGTAAATTATTGTAATATGTATTAATTAACTAGTAAATAAAAGTATAAAGTAAATGGAATTAAAAATTGTAATTATTTTCTCAATAAAACTTTTCTTATTATTCACCAAAGAAGATAGTTCTGCAATGAAAATACCACTGAACTGAACGTCTTCTTAATATACACATCTTGGTTGATTTTGACTAGAAGTCAAAGAAAGGATGCCAAAGCCCTCTTTAAATCTTTAATCTCTTGATGTATGTTCTCTACTTTGAATATTCCATTTAATTAATTATTCTTTTGGCTAGAATTTGACTCTGATGATGAAGGAGACGAGAAAATTCTCATTAAAGGATCTGTTCCTAGTACGCCAATGTAAGTGCTTGTTTATATTTTCTTGTTGATGCATGTCTTTGTTTAATATGCTTGCATTAATATACAGAGTGTACCGTAAATGTTGCGACAAACTTCTAGGGGTGGTAGAGCACATCATAAGGGTTAAGAACTGCGTAGGAAATCATGCCCGGAAATGTCAGGGGTAAATGGTAGCAAAGGTAGAAGATGGGAAAAGAAACAAGAGTGATTAATTTGAACCATTTCTTGGACATAAATACAAATGGTGCACGACAGCTTGGAAAAAAAACATATTTCGACGTTTGGCACCCTCAGACGCAACGTGACCTGAAAGTCCTCGCCGGACATGTTCAAAACACACCCGGGAGGTTCTTTGATTGTAGCAGCTGTGCAGGGAGTCTTGCCACCATCATTTCAAACACACGGATCGTACACGACACTATAATGGCTCCCACAAAATAAATCAATCCGGTAGTGTGGGGGCAGGGAATGCTTACCCGCCAAATCGATGCGGGATGATCCTTCAAATGGCTCGAACATTCCTCCAAAATGAGCGGGGCACCCATGTTGGAATCGCAGCTGGCCTCACATTGGGAAGATCGTCAAGCAAATCGGGAAGCACCTGCTCCAGAAAGATGAAATAATTCGAGGCATTCGAATGATCCGTCGGTGTCAGGCATGCTTGGCGTCTTGATGGTGCAAACTTCAAGCATTTGTTGTAACATTCAAGCTGTCGTACACCATTTGTATTCATGTCCAATAAAGTTTCAAATTAATCTCTATGTCTTGTTGCCTTTCCCATCTGTTACCTCTATTACCACTTACCGCTGACATTTCCGGGTATAGGTTCCTATGCAATTCTTAATCCTTATGGTTTCTATGCCCTACATTCCCTAGAAGTTTGTCGCAACATTTATGGCACACCCTGTATAAGACTAAATCACCGCTACAATCTATAAAATATTACCGCAACAAATACGAGTATCACGAACAAAAATATGTATCACATGTTAGAAATTTAAAGCTTTTTTTTTTTTTTTTTTTTTTTTGTTGTTGTTGTTTTTTGTTGTCAAAAGCACTCAAAGCCCAAGCTTAAAATATTTAATAATGGACTTCAGAATTGCATTAAAATTAGAGGAGACACAAACTGTTTCGTTGAATCAACGATCAGTTTGACAAAGGTTGTGTCGAATAACTGTAGCTGGCTGGGAGCTTTCTTATGCTGAGATAGCAAACTTCAGTGTCTTGGTTCCACGCTCTCATAGAAATGCACAGGCTATTCGCGCATTTTTTAGACGATTTTGCTTTGCTGTTTAAAAAAAAAAAAAACTGAAAGCTTGTAGGGTTTATATTTATTTTAAGTTAAAGCTTTTTCATCACGCCTTTCTTTCCCCTAGAGCCAAGCCAGAGTATGTAAACGTAGAGAAGCGCAGATATTAATTTTATCAGTGGTAAATTGAGTTAAATGGAGGGAAACGAGATTGTAAGTGTGCTTTTGAATCACGTGAAGGTTGCTGGTAAAATTTAAGAACCGCGCGTTTCGGCCGTGTGCCTATTTCGCCAGTTCGTTAAATCTTCAAGTCTTAATCAAAGTTTGAATCTCAGCTGTATCTTAGAACGCGGTTAAGTTTAAGGGTATTAAATTACGGCAAAGCACACTAGGGCTATGCTCAGGGAAAGGATGCCTTCGTGGAGACTTTCTAAGGAAACGGCTCGTATACAGTTACACATAGGGAAAACCACGAAAACGCCCAGGCAGCCAGCGTTCGCGGCTTGAACTCGGACCGAACTACCAGTGTTCACGACTTTCCGCTCGGCCGCTGGTGGTAAAGTAGTTACGATTATAGAGCTCGTAGGGTCGTGACTTGTTGGTTCATCCGTCCTTGCTTATAGTTGCAATTTTGTCTATTGTCAACGCCGGGTCGGCGTAGGTGTGTGCGGCAAGTGAAGCAATGTGATTCTAAAGTGAAATAAAAGGGCGTTACCCTTCTTAAAGTTGTGCATTTCATCCAGTCCTATACTGTCCGAGTTGGGGCCCACCAACATCAAAGCTTACGATTTGACATCGCCCAAAGGAACTTTTTTTGACGTTTCGGTGTTACCTTAGTATCATATCCTGTCTTCGCACTGAACCATCAAATTTAATTCAACTACAAGATCACAAAATAATTTAAAATGGGCTATCTTAGAATTTCCGATCACAGTCGCCCACTGGAGATAATTTTTTTCTTCCGTACAGTCTTGCCATGGCTCCGTTTGAAATTGTTGAGTTCTAAATTAAAAACGCAGAATGCTTCCAAAATATGAATAGATAATAAAACAATTTAAATTCCAAATTTGGGCTTCAGAGTCTCGATTCGGGGGAGGACGTTATTCAAGGATCTCTATGTACCGTGTTTTCACAGCGAGAAACATACATACGTTAATGCATCTTCTTTTTCCTTTCTTTAAACTAACACAGGTAATATATTGGGTGGAACATTTGAAGAGAATCAACGCCGAAGGAATCGACACAAATGCCAAAACGTAATTAATAGCCTTTCTGGGCTAATGCTCCTTTGGGGTAAAAATCTTCTGCTTGGAACTTTTTTTTAATTGCAGTTATATTTTTATATTTAACCCGGCGGAAGTCGCACCAAGAAAGTACTAGAGTGGGCGCGTGGGGTTCCACATACCCCGATATCTAAAATACGATAAAACTAGTTCTAATTAGCTTTAAAGCTGTTTTTCTTGTTCTCGTGTATTATGAATACGTGAATAATAATTGGGTTTCAAAAATTTAATTTCCAAAATAATCTTAGAATTAAAATGAAGATAAATGAAAATGAAAAAAAACATCATGCCTCTAAGTTTCATTGCCTCTCTAATACCACAATGCCTATTTTCTTCACACTTTGAACGACCATTGTGTTCTTGGCACAGAATGTTTTCACATTTTAAATTGCATTCACGTTCCTCTGTGCTTGGCGCGAGGGCAAAAAAATTATTACATCTTTCATACTTAGTTGTTTCGAATTTCATGTATTGGTTTTAATTCGTCGAAACTTCTGCTTTTGTTTTGCATGCAGACGTCAATTTTTTGGAAAGTATTATCTCTGATCTTTGTTCAATACTTTTTTCATTAATTGTAATGCTAAGTCCTTCAGAAACAGACTTCTGTTTCTGGTTGGTGGATTAGCAGTTGAATGTAATATAATTCAAGTATTTATTACAGCAACATTCAGTGCAGGAAAGAAAATTACCATTGGCCACCTCCTTGTTATTCTGGCAATTGAATAATTGGCTGACATTTCATCCCCCATATCCACTGCTCCTTTAGTCATATTATAAAAACATATAATTCCTGACGTTTTATTTTCTCGAATAGTACCATCTATGGTATGATGATCGTTATATAATGTTGAAAGCATAAGAACAATTTTTCCTTTTTTAGGAACATCAGGAATTAATGTTTTATCTTTTTCAAAACCAAAACAGTGTAGGAAATATTCCTAGTTTCATCTTTAGTTTCCGAAATGCAATCTTCATCGCTTTCAGATATTTCTAATAAATCTCGACAGGCGTTGCATCTCCAATTCAGGGGAGTCATTCTTTTTACCATAATGCAGTTAGAAATTTTAAGAATTTAATGTCAAGTACTTAAAAATCACTGCGAGTAGAAATATTTACTGTTACACTAGAAGAAATTTCTGAACTAAATAGTCAGAAAAACACTCACGCGGACAGGCGCGTGGGATGTGTCATACCCCAGTTCCAACAAAATACGGATAAATCTTTTTCTGAAACACACAGGCAAAGAAAAAGCGGTTCTGAACGTCAACCACAACTAGAAACTCAGCTACTGAAAGCAGCACAGAATTTCAGTTTCACAAGTTGGAATATTCCACTTTTATGTAGGGTTGGGGTATGATACACCCCATGCGCTTTCTCGCTGATTAAGAATAAATTATTTTATATTTAAGTATAAATTATCGTCTGCTATTTGCCGGCTTTGTTTTCATGCAAAATATCGCTTTTAAAAAAGCAATGGATGGAAGGCTATGTTTGTGTTCTTTTCGAAGACTATTCGTATTAAAAAAACGTTTCAAATCCATGGTTCTTCGATAGCTAAAGCTACGATAGGTATTGTTGCCAAAACAAAGGAAATGCTAAATATACATCGACTAAGCATTTGCATGAATAAATATCATTAGTTAGTAAGTACAACCTGTGTAAAAATGGATGTAGAAAAATCAAGTCCCACATTAAGAGATAGTTGAGTTTTTCAATAGTACAAATATTTACTATTTTATGTTGTTTCCGTTGAAGACTGAGCAGTTCCTCTTAATTAATAATAAATTACTTTCATTTATTATTTTAATTAATAAATATTCTTCTTAATAAATTGAACGCGCACAGAATACTTTGATAAAATTTATTTTACAAAAATAAATGCTTCACATTCTGAAACTTTGCTCAAAAATACTAGTATAGCTCTTCTCAGTATCACAAAGTGCAATCAATAGCTACACTTCAAACTACTGAGAGCGTTAAACACAACGCAATGAAAAGTGCTAAAGGGGGTAGCTCTCACGGATATCTCAATACTTCGAAATCAACTTTGAACTAAAAATTTTAAAAACTGATTCTCTCTTTTGTCTTATAGCGTTTTTCTCTCGAAATTACTGCAAGGCATATGAAGCCCGGATACGGTTACATATAAGAATCAATTATATTTATTCAATCACAATACCAATTACAGTTATACATGGACCGGACCAAAATGTCGCGAAATAAACGCCAAGTTTGGCGTTTGGCGGGATTTCTCTCCAAATTCGACGACATAAATTAGTTGCCAAAACCGACCCCAGCTTGGCGATATATCGCCAATTTATTCAAATAGCCATTTACTTCGATGTTAAATAGATTTACCCCAATGTAATCATAATTTTCTGGCAGTTCTGAAACACAGAAATGTATTTATATTTATTATTATTATTAAATTATATTATTAAATTACATTTATTATTGTTAAATTACTTATCTTCCCCTCATGTAAACAGTAGAACGCAAACACGTAAAATAGAACTCAATTCACAGCTAATTTAAAGAGAAAATTAATCCGATCTCATCACAAATTCGCAACAATAACAACAACAGCTAACTAAACAATTCTAGTTGAGATGATCTCGTTTAGCATTTTATAGCTTTTAATCGGTCGCGAAAAATTTCGAGTAAATTTCTGCTTTTTGAGATTTCTGAAAAGCAAAAGAGTAGAATTACGGTTACAGCTAACATAGTAATAAACTATATTTATTAAAATTAAATATAAATTACCAAGATAAACTTCATGTTCATGAATTCAATGTTATTCAATGTTATAAAAATTCTATGTTAAATGAACGTGCTCTAGTATTTTTACTTTGTTGTGGCTTGAGCTTATACAGAAACTTTAAATACTGATTAATATCGTTTTATTTGTTTTTTGTTGTTTTCAGAATGGCAACAAAAAGATTATTCAATTTTTTGTTGTTCTTGAAATGGCAACAAACGATTACTAATGATATTGTTCTAAAGAGTTGTTTGCATTTTGCTAAAAACGAAATAAAGATTAATTTTGATTTAAAGCGTGGATTGACGTTATTTGATGAACAGAGTTGTAAATAAAAATTAATTTGTAGTCTTCTGGAATGGCAACAAACGATTACTAATGATATTGTTCTAAAGAGTTGTTTACATTTGCTAAAGACGAAATAAAGATTAATTTTGATTTAAAACGTGGATTGACGTTATTTGATGAAACAGAGTTGTAAAAATAAAAATTAATTTGTAGTCAGAGCCGTTCTTGGAATGGCAACAAACAATTACTAATGATATTGTTCTAAAGAGTTGTTTACATTTTGCTAAAAACGAAATTAAGATTAATTTTGATTTAAAGCGTGGATTGCCGTTATTTGATGAAACAGAGTTGTAAAATAAAAATTAATTTGTAGTCAGAGCCGTTCTTGGAATGGCAACAACGATTACTAATGATATTGTTCTAAAGAGTTGTTTACATTTGCTAAACGAAATAAAGATTAATTTTGATTAAAACGTGGATTGACGTTATTTGATGAAACAAGTTGTAAAAATAAAAATATTTGTAGTCAGAGCCGTTCTTGGAATGGCAACAAACAATTACTAATGATATTGTTCTAAAGAGTTGTTTACATTTTGCTAAAAACGAAATAAAGATTAATTTTGATTTAAAGCGTGGATTGACGTTATTTGATGAAACAGAGTTGTAAAAATAAAAATTAATTTGTAGTCAGAGCCGTTCTTGGAATGGCAACAAACGATTACTAATGATATTGTTCTAAAGAGTTGTTTACATTTTGCTAAAAACGAAATAAAGATTAATTTTGATTTAAAGCGTGGATTGACGTTATTTGATGAAACAGAGTTGTAAAAATAAAAATTAATTTGTAGTCAGAGCCGTTCTTGGAATGGCAACAAACGATTACTAATGATATTGTTCTAAAGAGTTGTTTACATTTTGCTAAAGACGAAATAAAGATTAATTTTGATTTAAAACGTGGATTGACGTTATTTGATGAAACAGAGTTGTAAAAAAAAATTAATTTGTAGTCAGAGCCGTTCTTGGAATGGCAACAAACAATTACTAATGATATTGTTCTAAAGAGTTGTTTACATTTTGCTAAAAACGAAATAAAGATTAATTTTGATTTAAAACGTGGATTGACGTTATTTGATGAAACGGAGTTGTAAAAATAAAGATTAATTTGGAGTCAGAGCCGGCATAGATTTCTCTTAAACCAGCACAGATTTTCCGGCAACTTTTCTGGCATAGATTTCTCTTAAACCTCGTCTCGCGCTCCATTGCAAAGGGAAATAAAACAATTTTAATTATAATTCTACTAACATTAGCTATCTAAATACAAATTTCGTAACAATATTTATTTAACCACAATACCAATTACAGTTATACAGGGACAGGACCAAAATGTCGCCAAATAAACGGCAAGTTTGGCGACGTTTAGTGATTTTTCTCCAAATTCGACGACAAAAATGAGTTGCCAAAACCGCCTCCAGTTTAGCGTTATCTCGCTAATTTATCGAGATACCTATTTACTTAAATGTTAGTATATTTGCCCCCATGTAATCTTATTTTCAAGTAGAGCATCTTTTCTTTCAAGACTTTCAGGTTACGTTATACAGAAAATGCTGCAGTTTTACATATAATTTCTGAAATGTTATTTCCGTATAGTAGTGCTTTGGTAGACGGGTGCACGGATTTTTGGCGATTTACGTTGGCGCAATTGTTGGCGCGATTTTTACAATCGTCAACCATCTTGAAAAACGCCGATTTTACACATAGTAAAGTATTCGAAACTTAGAAAAAAATAAATATCGTTAAAAGTAATGATTAATTTTTTTTGTTGAAAATTTCGTTTTTAAATGGCAGGGCAAGTGGTAAATACATTTCTATGGTATAAATACTAAAGTTTTATTACTTTCATAGCAAAGAAGAGAATAAAACACCGCTATAAAAACATTGTGCCAACGTTAATTAGATTAAAATATTACTGAAGTTGAATATCGAATTAAAAACCATCATACCACATTTAAAGATTAGAATATGATTAAATTCAAATACTTAAAATACGCTCTATAGAATATAATTAACATTAAACATATGCAAAAATAATTATTCAGCAATTTTTGAAAATAGTGGCATTATTTTTTTAACAAAAATTGAAGTAACAATTATAAAATAACAAAAATAGTACTTAAATTTTTTGAGTCATTTAATCTGTCGTTTATTGATAAGTACCAAAAAAAAAATCGGAATCATAATTCAGATATCAATGAAAAAATTTGAAAAATGTAATATCAAGGGCAAGAATAAAAAAAATTTAAAAAATTTATAAATAGATAAAGCAATTTAGAGACAAATTAATGGATCATGAAAATTAAAAATAACAAAAAAATTTGAAGGAAAAAAAAAACTGCAATAATAGATATTGTGTTTAAGATTTCGAAGATCCTTTAACCGCCCCTCCCTCAAGTACAAAGGACAATTTTTTGATTCCGATACCAATAATCCTTGGTACTTACCAATAACAACATTCATCTTTGAAGGAATTCGAAGATATGAATTAAATTTTAAAATGGCGCGTAGGCACACATTTTCATAACCAATCAGGGAGCTGATTACAGCTCATTACATCAGAGCTATAATCATGCCTAAAAAATTATTTAAATAATCATACATAATAAAATCATTCGTTTTTAAATGCAAAATTACATTTTTTTAATATTTAACAGCCATAAATAATGTTTAACATTAGATTAAATTTATAGATATTAAACTAATTACTTTTAAAGTTAGGTGACGTCATTGATTACATCATCCGCAACATAAAATTGCATAAAATATCATAAACAATAAAATTTTTATTTAAAATAAAAATGCAAAACTAAATTGATTTTTAATATTTAGAAGCCGTAAATAATATTAAAAACACGGAATTTATGCATAATAAAACGCATTATTTTTAAATAAAATGACAACAAAGTGTCGGTTACCATAAATAACTTATCCAGCAATGGGTTTACCATAAGTCGTATTACTCGCCAAAAGAAATATCGCCAAAAAATCGCCGAAATCCGTGCAACCGTCTATCAAAGTAGCACTTTACGTATATACAAAATCCGTAACAATGTATTACGAATGAAATTTGTTTACAATTTTCACCAGGGAACTAGAACAAAACTTGAAACTGAACAAAGAAAAACTTCAATTGTGGAATACTTCATCTTTTCGTCGTTATGTCATTCATCACCCTCCTTTATGGAAGATGATTTATTTGATGTGGAGTGCCCCTATCACTAAGTTCTGGATTTTTCAGGTAAATGTGAAATATCCAAAATTCCTAGTTTTAAGATTACTTCTCTTTATTTTCTTATTTTTCAAGATAAAAACATTTTATATAACATTTAGACGATTTATTTTCTCATTCATTGAGTATTTTGATACTTAAGTGTAAATAAATTTTATGTATTTAATTTTCGAGCTAAGTAACTTGTAAGTATTTTGAGTTAAACCAATAAATTTGGGTGCTACTTTGGTAGACGGTTGCACGGATTTTGGCCTTTTTTTGGCGATTTTTGTTTTGGCGACTTATGGTAAACCCATTACTGGATAAGTTATTTATGGTATCCGATACTTTGTTGTCATTTTATTTAAAAAATAATGCGTTTTATTATGCATAAATTCAGTGTTTTAAATATTATTTATGGCTTCTAAATATTAAAAATCAATTAAATTTTGCATTTTTATTTGAAATAAAAATTTTATTGTTTATGATATTTTATGAAATTTTATTTTGTGGATGATGTAATCAATGACGTCACCTTACTTTAAAAGTAATTAGTTTTAATATCTATAAATTTAATCTAATGTTTTAAACATTATTTATGGCTGCTAAATATTAAAATACAATATTATGAATGATTATTTAAATAATTTTAATTCTATGCGTGATGTAATCAGCTCCCTGATTGGTTACTGAATATTTGTGCATTTACCGCGCCATTTTAAAATTTTATTATTCATCTCTTCGAATTCCTCAGATTTCAAAGCGAATGGATATGTTCCTTTTCGAAGATAAATGTTGTTATTGGTAATTACCAAGAATTATTGGTATCGGAATAAAAAAATTGCCCTTTGAGACCCTATTTTGGCCAACCTGGCTTTCCTAATCAAAAATTTATTTATAAATTGTAACAAAGAATCATAGGAAATATATTTTAAATTTTTGGAGGAAACCTTGTAAGGATCTTAAGTTTTACTAACGTTTATTTTATTTTAAATCTTTACTATCACTTCTTATTTTCTACTTCCGGCCAGAATTATAAGCGTGAAGGAGTTTATGCAAAGTCTGGCGAACGCCAAGTATTTAGTGTAGCCTTTTTGCCAGCAGAAGAGAGGAAGCCGTGAGTTCGAAGCAGGCCGCTTACCT